GTTAAGCTATCATTCATTTTCTATCCCCTTATCCTATGTCTCTTCGAGGTAAATTCAGCTTCAAGGCTATAAACTTCCTATATCACATTTCCTCTTTTATAGTAGAGTATCTTGTAAGTGTTTTCAGGTTTTCAGTTGGACACTACTGTATTGCCACTGCTAGCATTCGAGCATTCACCATCAGCGAAGTATCACAAGCATTAAAGGACTAATTGAAATTCATTAATTCTGAACACGTTTACACAGGCTTCAGACTTAAAACTGGTAATTTTATATCTACCAAATAATTTTACGAATGCTTAAAAGAATTTGACTTTTGGTTTTACTATAGATGCATGAGTTACAATCAAGGGAAGCTTCCGTCGAAGAACATTTCAAGGTCCTTTTTCTTCTCGTCAGTCCACCCGTTCAGTTAATCTTGGGTCTGAGTTCATAATTTCCGAGGACAATTCAATGCTCCCCCGAGCTTTCGAGCATAGTAGCAATCCTTTGTCCTCCACGGGGAATTTGATGGTTCAGTTGGATCCCTCTTTCCTTCCTCGTCAAGCAGAAGTACTCTTCCGTCATTTAGGCCATGCTTGATCAGCAGATTGGAACCAAAAGTGTTTAAACGGCGACTGCAAATGACTTCAATCGAAAGAGGATTTCGCAAAACCTGTACTTGCTAGCTTCAACGAGAGAATAGCCTTCAAGATCGAAGATTCCATAAAACTGATATCATCATTAACGCTTGTCTGTGAATCCCTCCCTCACTGCTTTCTCAAGTTCTGAAATGACTGAAAATTTCCATGATAAAAGATAATTGGAAGCCCAATCCTGCTCCTCTTAAAGTGGCGAAGGTTGTGACAACTCAGTTATCTTTCCCCGCCTCCTCGACGATCTAGAAGTAAGCTAGGGTAAATTCCCACCTTTACCCAATTACTATTCAGCTGATCTTGAACGAGCTCGTTAATTGCTCCAATTGACAGACCCCAGCTGGAAGTACGAATGCTACCGCATTCATTGTACACGTGAATGTAGCCGAATGGACAGAATGGCCTGTGGAGGATTCTTACTTCGCGCGGCTCAATCAACAACATGCTTCAGAAAAAAAGATGAAGTTGCAATAGAGTTCTCTTCAAAACCACATCTGTCGGAGGACAGTAAGGGTATTGGAATTGTAGTGAACAGCAACATATCTTCGACAAAAAATAAACTGATGGTTTGAAGAGCACTTCTTGAGAACATCACTTACGCGGATCTCCACGCAGGCTCTTTAGTGCTACTCAGTAAGAGAGGCGTCATGAATGGCTTCAAATGTCAGAATATACGGCTCAGTATCGAGACTGGAGTAATTTTGGCCTCGGTCCGATGGTTAAAGTCACGAAGTGCTGTCTATTCTCTGGAGATCCTGCTACCTAACACACCAAGAGGTTAAATACTGTGATGTGCCATCATATGACATCAAACGATCCAGCTGTGTGCTGGGAATGTGATCCAAATTTATTACAAGTTGGATTAAAATGTATTAAAATTACATGCAGCAAGCCTATCTTCACCTATCCGAGAGTCGAATCTCTAAAATACAGAAGTCGTGTTTGTTTGCAGTTCAGAACGAAGGACAATTGGCTTGCTATCATTGGCTGCGACGATCCGGATCAGTTTACTTCACGTGTACATGTTACAGTTAATTCACGTAGACAACGGAGTGATTCGGGCGTGATTCTGGTCTTCAATGGAGTGAACCGAACTTATACTGTACTGTAGAGCTCATGCGAGTTCCTGTAAAGCTGGAGACACTTGACGGATGGTTTTCACACTGACGTGAAGAAGAATCGAAGATCACCTTTTGCGAACACTCATCGTCATAAGATTTCCAAGACCTACATGGCCGGTGCTAAAATATTTTAGTTATAGGACTGGAATTAAGGCAATCTGCAATATTCTACACTGCCATTCCAATTCGTGCGGAACTCTGCGTACAATCCACAAACTGACACATGTGAATAAACTGCTCAAAGCTTCCTTTGATTGTAACTCATGCATCTATAGTAAAACCAAAAGTCATATCCTTTAAGCATTCGACAAATTATTTGGTAGATTTAAAATTACCAGTTTTAAGTCTGAAGCATGTGTAAACGTGTTCAGAAATTAATGAATTTCAGTTAGTCCTTAAAATGCTTGTGATATTACGCTGATGGTGAATGATCGAATGCTAGCAGTGGCAATAGAGTAGTGTCCAACTGAAAACCTGAAAACACTTACAAATACTCTACTATAAAAGAGGAAATATGACAAAGGATGTTTATAGCCTTGAAGCTGAATTTACCTCGAAGAGACATAGGATAAGGGGATAGAAAATGAATGATAGCTTAACCTACGACTTTATCTAGATAGTTAGAATTTTAGACAATCACGGACATATTCCTCAGTGTGATAATACTGAAACCTAGCCCCTGGTTACCCGAAAGGTTTTCTACTTCTGATCTGAGATCTCCCTATCTTTTTCGTTATCCACTTGGTACCACTTACATACCATTAGAAAGTTACATAGTTTATTTTCAGCCTAACTCCACCGCGATTCTACGTCTAATCATCTCGAACCCGTCTTCGTGCCCATTTTGTACATGGTCATCCGTGCTGCGGAAGGTTTGAGACCAATTAAACTGCTTTGCATAATACAAGATAAGTGTCTGTTTTAAGTAAAGAGCAAGGTTTGGGTTCTAAGCGAGGCATAATGCCAATATATTCATATCTAGGGGCGTGGATGAGAGTCCGAGTTCATATGAAGCGAGTTTCACAAGAGGTACTTAGCGGTCACAAATTGTTGCACACCACTAGATAGAATTTTTATTTTTCCTCCCATCCTATCTTGTAACTGAGACGCCTCTCACACCCCTCCACAAAAACACCTAACTGACTTCACACATATATAAAAGGGATACTTATGGTGTTGTCTGTAAACGATAATATTTACTTGATTTTGAGGACGTAGGTTTTCCAAAAGAAGACTTTGACACTCCGACGCCTGAGACTTCGTGGACCAAAGCATGTCCATACGTGGATTATCTGGCTAGCGAGATCCAGCTACCCACGTGCAGCTAACAGCCAAACATAAATAATTCCTTCAGATGAATAAGAAGTTGAAAAGTAAAGAATGCATATGACCAACAAACTGTGCACCGAATGAACAGGAAGAGGATATGAGAAGCCCCCAAGTTTAGTAATTTATCTTTGTTTCTAAATGTATGGCCTACTGAGGAATGAATGAGATGTACTACTGTCGCGGTGTGCTTTGCAAATATTTAAACCCTCTTCAGTCCCTACCTGAGAGATTTGCTGTTCTGTGGAGTTCATAAAATCTTGAAAGAGTTCTAGAGAGAGTTCTCACCTTACTGACATTTAGAAAATCTATTCTCATTTTGGTTGGGGCTTTCATAGCATTTGGTGGCAGCCACATTGTTTCTCCTTGAACGTTCTTCCCCGTTTTCTTTATCCACGAATTTTTCAAATTGGTGGAATAGGCAAGACAGTGGATGATATCAAGTTGTAGACTTCAGTTGTATCTGGATGTACCATTTGCACAACATCAAATTGAAAAACTTAGGAAGCTCATTGGTTCACCTATTCGTTGAATCTTGATGAAGTCGTGTAAGAAAGGAAATTGGATCCGCTTTTATCAGTGTTGACAGATCACGATGTTTGAAATATAAAAATATCGGTCAGCAAGTTGCGAAAGAAAGAAAAAAAACGAGAATTCCCTACTGCAATGCTTGTGAAAGTGTGATCGGATTATGAATGGGCACAACAACAGAGCTTAGACATAATCTACCTCTTTGTGACGAAGGGCGTAGAGCAAGGAACATCTGTGACATCTAATTCTTGTGTAAATATCAATTCCCTTGTTGACTGGAAACACACCTGACCTCTAGATGCTAAAGTAAAAAAATTGAAACCTGAAACTAGGAGAGTTAACTTTTAGAATTCAAATGAATATGTAAATGAGGAGGTTGTATTAAACCGTTTTTCAAGGAGATGAAGAAAGTTCTTTTGATATAGCACCTGAAGATGTTGTTCAATGGTCAGAAATTGACGGTGGGTGGTTTGAAGGTAGGGTGAATCATATCCTCGACCTAATTTTTTAAGATGACTTCAACGTTTTTGTATGAGACTAGTGGTATCTCATAGTGGCTTCGAAGTTCTACATATAAGTAAGGCTTCTTTGATTTAACTGACCCAGCAAGTTTCCTAATATCGCTATACAAGGTGTGGATAACCCATCGAATGTTTGCTAAATTGGACATAGAAAATTCAAACTTGTTCTTTCATTGTATTTTACTATCTCTTGACCCATAGAACTATACACTCTATCAAATCTGTACAAGCCTTACTGCTAACCTATACTCCAAATACGTTTTTTCCATGATGTTTTTCACATGTTTGATCGGGAAAACATGAAAAAATATTCAAACTTCACAGTGATGAGACTCTTATTATAAATCAATCCATCATATAATTAGTAAATGATATACACCATCTCATAATTATGGTGCATGAACTTGACATAAATATGTACGATAATTCTGTGGATTTTTTATTTCTTATGAGGGATATCTGATCTAACGTATAATATATCCAGAAGTCATGAAATGTTGCAGATCCTTCTCTTTTCTGTAACCATCGATCAGTAAGTAGATGCTTACATCTAGACTGCTTTAAGTTACGATTTATGCTCAAGTTTATAATGGTAAATATTAATCAAAGAAGCGAGGGGCCAGAAGGTGTTAGAATGCTCAAATCTTCAGTTCTACGTGGTGCTGTTGCAGTAAACTTCACAGCAATATTGTATTTACAGCAACTCTTCAGAAAAATAAAGAAATCTACAAAACTTCTCGTACACTTGTTAAATAAGAAATAGGACTGGCCGGACTTACGACAGTACGGAGCAGATTGACTCGGCGTCACCTTCACCATCGAGTTCTAGGCAGCTGGCGAGGTCTTACATTGCTCCTGGGTCCCAGCCTCCGAAGCTTGCTGCGCAGAACTCATTGGAGATAGTGACGAAAATCCATTTGTTCAGCTCCATACTGCGCAAGACTTACGCAGGGATCATCAGTTCCCTTCTGGTGCATGCAGTGTAGCTGCGATTCAGCAGCGGTTAGTCTTTCTGCAATCGACTTTCGAAAATTGCAGGTGCATACATTTCCAGTGTACACAGGCAATAATCTAGTATATGTATCCTGCAGATTCTCTGATGAATTGGCAGTGTTCGCTTGCATATGGGCTATCCTGGCAGGTCGATCAGGATAGCTCAAAAGCTATTCGACGAGCTCGTGCTGCGGCGGAACGTATCTGGCTGGCCTTGATCTCAGGACTTAAATTTTGTGCGCGGGCGTTTGCGATCAGTTGGCTCGGCTAGGGATGGAGCTTGGAGTGCTTCAGACCGCAACACCACAACCACTGATCCGCGGGCTCATCTGCAGTTGGAGATGGCTCTCACGAATGGTCCTGATATGATTATTGTGAAATCTGACAGAGAGTTGGAAGAAGCTAGCGAAGATCGCGAAGGTCGGGCCAATTTCCAAGATAGTAACCACGAGAGATCATCTCGAGCTCAAGCGGGTGGTGCATTCGGAGCCAATGCACGACAATCAGAAAGCTTTACAGGTAGGAAACCAATGTGTCGAGTTCTAGCACCTATACGTCAGGTGAGGCCCGATCACTACGAACCGGAGCTCATATCGTTCGGCCTCTACGACAGAAACTATAAGCATAAGTCCCGGTCCGATAATCTATCGTTTCTGCTGCAGAGACAAAAAGAGCGAGACGACCCAGCATCCCAACACGATCCTGAAGTCGAACTACTCCGAGTTCTCAGTGACTTGTTAGTCAAGACGTACCAGCATCAGCTGAGCGACGAAACATTCAGTCTGGGTGCACCCAAGAAATTCAAAAAGGCAAATCGTATGGACCAACAGAGGGAGAAAGTGGTGTTAAGGTTTATGGAGATTTTGGGCATCGAGGAGAAATCGCTACGACGGCAAGTGGTTCCAGACGAAGACCTGGACAGGATCATCGGCATGTATGAGGATGGCTTTCTCATGAAGCGTGAATTCGCCAGGCATCTGCTTACCTTGGACGCAGTATTTCTGGTATGTTTCATGCTGTACATGTATTCGGAATGCAAGTTCAACAGGGCACTGATGGGGGAAAAGGACTTGGCGTCCATACGTGTTACCAACTTCGATAGGCGACGAGAGTCCGTGAAAATTGACGGAATTGAGAGCGAATTTGATTTTTTCCCGCTGCTTGATTTCTTCGACCAGCTAGGTGTCCCTTGCAATGGTCATATCATGCGGTCAGATTTGTGGCTTCTGGAAAATCAGATTCCATTGAGTCTGCTCAGAAATGTTTTGAGGATGATGTACGGTGGTGGTGAAGAGGTAGTAGAGAAGGGACTGAAAGCTCTCGTGAGGGTTGCCCTCGCCAATGTCTTACCTCAAGTACCCGGAGACTGCTCCAAGCCGAGTAAGGTCTCTTCGAGAATCGACAGAGATGTCAGTTTCAAACATTGCGAACACCTTCTGGAGTGTCTGTATAGAGCAGTCTGTCCTAAGAACTGGCAAGGAGATGGACGAGATGAGTCGCCGAAACGGGGATCGGACTGGAGGGATAAACTAGCCAGCTGCTTTAGACTTGCAGGCATGAATTACAGACCATCGTATCGGGGTGATGATGGTGATCGCAAGAGTCCAAAGGGAGGGAGGGAAGAACTTAAGGAGGAAGATTCGAAGACAGATGAGCTCGAGGACGCCATACTTCCTAAGCACAATCCCAAGGTTCTTCTCCCTCCGATTTCTTCCCTTCAGAAAGCAGGCATAAGAGTCGTGGGCGAGGAATCGCGGGGCTGCATTCTGAAGTTTGCACAGGCGAAGAGAATATACCACAAGGCAACGCTCTGGCTTCCACAGCTGCGCATCGACGACAGCACCGAGAGGATCCTGAGAAATTTGGTCGCGTTCGAGTCGACTATAAGCACCGGCACGGGTGATGACGATCATGACGATCATATCCTGATGAGTTTCTTGCAATGCATGAATGATTTGGTGAACACGGAGGAAGATGTTCGCCTCTTGATGATCGGCCCAAAACCCGTCATCCAACTGAGCTTCCTGGGTGAGAACAAGGATGTGGCCGTCATGTTCAACAATCTGATCCAGCATTGCTACTTTGAGCACACGCCCCAGTCGGCCAAACTACGCAAAGAGGTATTTCGTTGTTACAATAAAAATTTCCGCCATCTGTACACTGAGTTCATCGAAACACACTGCAGCAGGCCCTGGATCGTCATGTCGTTGCTCGCCGCGACGATGCTTCTCGGGATGACCGCAGTTCAGACAATCTACGCTGTTGTGAGCTTCTAAAATAGTTGACCCAGAGGCCCCTCGTTTGTCCGTTGCTGACTTTTTGTCCAAGCCGTGTCCATGTCAGTACGAGAGCCTAATGACACAAAAGGACGAGAATCAAAATCGCGTGCACGAGTCTTCTTCTGATCATGGGGAAGATCATGTGTTTGCAGTCTACAGGATTCGTGATGTTACATCACGAATCCTGTAGACTGTCTTACATCACTGATGTAGGACTCACCAGGGTAGGTGCCAGGGTAGGTGCCAGTGCGCAGCAGAGACAGGTCTGTAGTGTCGCCATGTGTAGAAGAGGATGAACCTGAACCAGGAACTACGAGTCGTTTGATTACCGGAAAGGCTTAGTATGATCATATATTATATCATATCATTCATGCTTATAAACTCCTGAAATCCAAGCCTAGATGTACAGAGAGAGACGGCCTCATATCTTAGTCAAGGGGCCTTTAATAATTCAGACCAAACCGTAGGACTGGGACCATGGAGCGATGTTGAAAATGTTGAAATCCATGTATATATCATAATTAGTATCAGTCGGTCAAAGAGGAAGATCAGCAATAAAGTCCAGATAATGGAGCAAGCGAGAACGTAGTATACCCCACTCTCTTCAATTTAAGTGATTGACACGATCTGAAGAGTTAGATAGAGGGTTCGGCAATTAAGGTCCATGGGGTTTGTAGCATCCTTTTTGTTTAAGTGGAAAAGTCACCCGGGGTACCCTAGTACAATTTACAATTAAATTACATAGTATGGGTGATAACCATACGATTTCATGTCTAGGCTTTGAAATAGAAATTCTAAGTTCTACAAGTAGCCGGAAGCGAGATGACATAGGAGCACATGTGCAGATAAACAATTCGTTTCTGTAATTTATTCAGTTGCAATTTCCAGCGAATATGGACGCTAGCAGTAGTTCTAATCTGACACTGCACTGTACATTGAACTAGTAGTCGACACGAACTTCAAGGATCGCGTAGTTGATAACGAAACGTGTTCGAGCCAAGAGGGTTTTGAGTGTAGACGTGAGGTACAGTGCAGGCTTTGAAGGTTTCATTAAGACAAGCATTCGGGATATTTTTTAAAGAAAGTGGCAATATAAGGAGAGAGATTTGTACTTGATGGGACATCAAGTTTCAATAACGATAACACAAAGTTAGTGCTTGTATATAATAGATAAACTTAAGTGATGTAGTTTCTTGATAGGCTATTTGAGTAACTAGTTAGATCTTGAACTTTTAGTTCAAATCATGTATGTTTCAGTATAATTTTATATCCAATTATAAAGATTTGAAATTATTCTTTGTATTCATGGTAAAATTACTTGTAACGCCTTTCCGAGAGCGTCATTAGAAGAATAAATTGAACTTTGAAGGTGGAAAACCAAAAGGAAAGGATTCTGCATTGTTTCATGTACTCCAAATGCTCAAACTTAAGATTCCTAAAGCATGAAATGTTTGTGGATTATGTCACTTTGATAAAATAATATAGATTATTCCAATCTATGAAATTTAAGCTATTCACAAATAACGCATTTTTATTTAAAAAAATCTGTAAAAAATTAATTATTTTTGGTTATATTATTCTTTAATCATATGTCTCAAGACCTTCAACATTATTTATAAAACAGGAATAATTAACTCATATGGACCAGTATGTATCCATTCGAATTCATTCATATTCAGCTTTTTACTACAATGCTGTGAGTGTTTTAGATTGGTTGCATTTACGAAAAAACAATTTTTCTTTTCTGAAGTGGACTGGGTTCCAAGTTGATTAAAAGCTTGAAACAAATTTTTAACCGTTTAACCACGAAATTAATATTTTTGGCAACCAATGTCAAAGCAATATTATGTTCACCTCTGCTCCTGTTGATAACATATTGTGGAGGCGGCACAACAATCCTCATAAGTCTCCACCGAGCACGATAAAAGAGGCTACTCTGGACAAAACTAGAGAAATTATTTCAAAGAAAGAGGTTAATAATGAAATCATCATCTTGTCTACTTCTTTGCTTTGCAGTATGGTCCAATCCATAGACTATAGAAGAGTTGAATCCACTTTTCTGGAGCATAAAGGTGGAAGCGTGTTCAAAGGAAGTACCTTGTGAGTAGTGATACTGAGTCTTGTAGGTTTTGTGCTGAGGTGATCCAAATGACCAAGCTACTCCAAGCTTAATTCCTATGGAAATGCAAATTCCAAGTTACAGAGTAATAGTCTCCACAAGGCAGGCAGTTATTGGAGAGAATTTGCACAAATAATCCCTTTATTTGTCATGAACTTCAAGTTCAACCCCAAGATTTAAGAAGCATCCTCCCTTTTGAATGTTGGAAAAACGCTTTTCAAGACTCTCTTATCTTTCACAGCAAAAAAGGTAGTGGAAACAATTGTGAACGGACTTTTTTCACCTTGTCTACTCCACATTCATAGGAACAAAAGTTGGTTACAAGAAAGAAGAAAGGTACCAAATTGATTGGAGTGGGTTCCTTTGCTGGTTCCACGGGGAACTCTATTCTCGGAAATGTGGATTTAATGCAAAGAGCTAAAACCCAAAAAAACTTTTGCAAATGATATGGTTTCTATTGCAACTTCCACTCAGCTAGAAGTTTTTGATCCTCAAGAGAATGCCCCGTTTTTTGCTGCAGAAGAGAAGCTTTTCTTGCAAATTGAAGATATGTGTGACATTAACCATGATTGCACTACTACTAATCTTGCTAAGACTGAAAGATGTAGTGAGGGTAACTTCTTTGAGCAGGTGGAATCTCAAAAAAAGCTGGTATTAAGGAGACACATGAAACAATAATGCAAAATTTTGGCTTTAAGAAACATGCGCCTCTTAAGAATACATTTTCTTTTGCTCTGAAGTCTAGACCTGTTTGCATGAAGTGCTCTAAGTACAAAAGTGAGAGACGAAACCACTATCAAGGCAGGCGAGAAAGCTTCTTATGCTCTTCTCAACAAGAAATACTTCTTGACACGTAGTGCTATTGTTTTTTCTGTTGACAAACTTTTTGACGACTTCTATGATTCGATACACATTGAATACTTCACTGAGTAATGAATTGCACCAAGATAAATCTTGAGACTGTCACGGTAAATATTGTATCTTGGAATGTGAGATGCTCCAATGAAAATACCAGGAAATACAAAATAAAAGTTTTCTACATTAAATGTGTGGAGTATTCAAATATCATTGCTCTACAAGAACACAAGGTGGATTTATTTTCTATGACACTGAGTGGAAAATTCATTCGCAAAGACTTATACATCTTATGTGCCACAAGTTAGAAATAGGCCAAGGATGAAGGCGCAGCTTTACTAATCCATAGAAGCTTCAACCTCCTTCACTCTAGAATTTAATACAATGGCTTTCTTACTTGGGCGCTCATTTTTATGTAGGCATCTTTCGCAGAGTAGGAATCAAATTCTATACTCTCATCTAGTTGTCAACATCAACATTTATACTAGAGTTTGCAACACAATTGACAAGGTTATTGCTCAATGGAAAGAGTCGAACGTATGTACTAGTCTCAAATAACTTTTTATCATTGCTCCAATGCTTCTAAAAATTATTAGTTAGCAAATTCATTGCTAGAATTGAGAGATACTTCAACAAATGCTTAGAATATTACTCTGAAATGGAAAGAATAACAAAAGCTCATCACACAATGGGCAGCAATGGAAACTCATCTATTTTTGACTTCTTCTAGGAGGATTATAGATCCACGCTGATCTTAGTTTTCTAATCAAGATTTCATGTTACGCTTGGTTGTCTTGCAGATTTGCTAGAATGTGCATCTCTTGAATAGGTGATTGTCAGGTAATGATTAGCTTGTGGTTTTGATATGGGCTGTTAGATTGCCGATTTTGACCTTGTTTGGTTGAAACTATTTCCCCTAGGGCTTTGTTCCGGCTCATTTTCGCAGCACTTTCCCGTCTTCTCTTTTCTCTTCCGCTTGTTTATGTGGGTGATTTTTCTGGAGCTTGGGTAGGTGAGCCCCTCCTTCACGGATTTTTTGTGTTTTGTCTTCAAGGTTATTTTGCGGTTCGGGCTGGATGAACTTCTGATAGGTGGTGTTCTGCTGGGGATTGGCCACTGCACGGTTTTGCCGTCTCATGCTCTCTCGTCCGTTTATTTTTCGCTCAATTGCTATTGCTTGTTGGGCACTTGTCTGGCGCTCGCTTCCATATGTTTTTGTATTAGCTTTGTTGCGCAGTAAATTGAATTCATATTACAGTTTTTGCATATTTTCACCAAGATATATAATAAATTCAACTCAAACATAATTTTTTTATGATCGATATACGAACCATGAATATTCCCATAAAGAATATTCAACTTATAAAGGGTTAGAATATAAATTTATGTAAAATTCATCAAGGATAATGAAGAAAAATAATTTACTACTAATTCAAGAACTCTATGAAAAATATTGGATGTATCTATTTGGTGAGGAACATTCCGACTAAAAAATGTATACATAATATCATTGTTTTTGTTTAGGCTTCTTTGCTTTCGTGAAGTTTGTATATAACGGTTAGAGCTTAATTCAATTTACATTTCAGATCCTGCGCTTCCCAGTGATATGACTGTAATCAATGGATCCCATTTAAGTGAAACTTGCATTAACTCAAGGTTGTAAATGAGCAAGACCTCGATCGAATGATGACCTCAAGGTACAAGCAATATACTGCAGGAAACAAAGAAGCATTTACTCTGCGATATTTTACCTGCAGATTCTGAAACTGTACTCGAGCAATCAAATTCCTTGGACGCCTCTTCAGCGTACAGTACACCCAAAGATAACAAGACAAGGACACACGGAAGTCATTGAAACTTCAAAAGCGAAGGAGCTTGAAGGTCCGTTGGAACTCATATTTTACAATGACAGAAACTTCGTTGCTTTGCATCGGGATAGTACAAATGTCTCGAGCAAGTATTACCAAGCTACATGAGATTTACTTGTATTCTCTTGACTTACTAAACCATCAATAAAGTGCCAGATTGACATCATGTAAAATCTCTACCAAGACTTTGTGTCTCATTCTGCTGTAGTCAGTCATGTACATTACTCGTGCCAGAAAGTATCCATTGACCGTCACACACCTGGCTGGCGTCAGTATACATACATATACAAGGAGTTAGTGGTACGCTTGCCGAGGTCGATGGATTTTGACAAGAATTGGATGCTTTCAAGGTATTTCACATAGCTATTTCTTTACTCATGTATCATATTGTGCTCATTATATAACTAGTGAGATTTGATTATTTGAAAAATTCTATCTTAACACAAGTTGTTTATTTTAAACTATCAAGTTTTGTTTTATCACATCTATGCGGTTGTCATCCATGTTCTAGTATCAATCAAATTTAGAGACAATTTTGATTCTGTCAAGTCATATGTGTCGACAAGAGATGTATCCAACAACATCTCCTTGCTCCCATTGTTACATACTTTTGAAATATTCAATTTCTAGGCAAATGATCTACTTTAACTCAAAGGAGTCCCGATATCAACAAGAAACCAAAGGGACAAGCAAGGTCAACCAGCTCCTTAATACTGCTTGCATTGGTGCATAATGGGTATCGTGGATAAGATGAATCAACTAATGCTCAAAGTGATCAAACTTAAGCTTTTAGAAGACCCAAACGACGTCTGTTTGGACTCAAAATCACGGAAATTCGTTCACGAAGAGTCCAAATTTGTGATTGATAAATGTTTAGGGTCCGAGGTTCATAGCCAGTCCGGAATTCATACTCGTACAAGAAAAGGTAGCTCAATATCAAGATCAAAAATTCCTGAACATGAGATGAGATTCTATAGCCGAGTTAGCATCTAAGCCCAACACCAATATGCTACATCCATGAAATTGAGAGAAAACATCTTCATGACGTAATTAAGAGCATAATCTCCAATGCTTCATGAGTTTATTTTGTGACTTTTTTTTAATTTGATTCCAAGCTTGCAACTTTGTTACCAAACTGATGAAGGAAAGTTTTCCAAATATCTTATTTTCGTTAGAATTTTTCTCAAAAGATCAGGTACAAACTTTTAGAGTCTATAACCTGTCACTCTCTCTCACCTCTCACAACCTCTCTCTTTTCGAGTCTGCAACTTGTATCATATATATATATAGTAACAGATTTTAGAACTTGACAACGGTGTGCATGTTGGTGGAGTCCCAATCTGATAAAACTTGATGAGTCCCAGGGACTAATTTGTGTTAGAATGAGATCCCATCAAATAATTTCTTGACTAGTGTTTTCATTATATCACAATTGATTGTGATACTTTTATAAAAGTTATCCAGTTACTTGATGAGATTCAGATGGATATATTTGTAGAATCTTTAGTTGAAATAGTCATCAATCTAAATTCAAGTAATATATATTTCATATTGATACTATTTAATGATTTTTGTTTCGTTTCTTCTTCTTATGAATTGATCATAACTTCCCGATTTTTCAAATATATCTGGATGCAGTATAAATTGCAATCTTGATAGACTCATTTAATTAAAACACTATATATTTCTAAACATGAACAAAGAATGTGTGAACAATTTTGGTATTCTATAAACCAAATATGAATTGTTCCAAATCCACGAAGTTAAGTAATATCAAAAAAATAATCAATCCTCCTAACTTGTCATGCATAACTTAATATTTGTAGTGCAACAAATTTAAAACTTGAACAATATATTTTCTAGAATATGATTGAGAAATTGAAATAAATACGCGTTGTGTAACAAAATTGTATGTTTTGAAGATCGTGTTCTAAATGCAATAAAATTTCAACATTGGAGGAATAACATATTCTATTATGCACATCTTTGTATTAAAATGTAAAGTACATAGGTTGTACCCAAAAGAAGATTCAGTACTTTTCTCCTCCAAAGCAATCACACATGTATTGATATGCTACAAAATGTATGCACCAACTTGATATTCTATTCCAATTTGACTAAAAGTTGTATTAACATGCCATGTTAGATGTCACATGAGCAAGAGCATTTGCATGCGTCCTTGCCACATTTGCCATAAGTGATTTTTGCCTGATGCCATAAAAAAGTTGGAAGTCAGTTATCATTTTCTTTTATCCATTGTTCAAAAATTGATGTTTTTTTTTGTGCAATGTTGAAGAGTTGCTATTGATGAAATGTTGTTAAAAAAGCACAAAACAACATTTAATGTCACTCATGAACTTGGGTATAAGTAGAAGATCTTCATGCGAAAACACTTGTCTGGTGTCGTTACATTTGTTTTGTGTCGATTCTGCCAAGTATGGAACAGTGAAGAAAAGTTCAGACAAAAGCTCAAGCTTACTAGGATCACAAAGTACTTTAAGATTCCATATCCACCAGAGTGTATTCATAGCATTTTGAAAGCCAATAGTTGGTGAAGTGGAGTGAATATTGTGCTTTGTCACTAGACTTCCAACAAAGTTTTTTTGATGCTATTGCTTTTGTGAATACTATCTAAGCTTATTATGTAGAGTTTGATGATCAACTATATCTTGATATCAACGTAAATATCACAAGTCTAGACACGAAACTATTTGATCTTCAAGTTGCATTTGATCAACTGTTAAGAGCATATAGTATTTAGACGTTTGAGTGAAGTTTATTATGAGCACCAGACTTTGTTGCTTCCATATATGTTATCTCTCTCTTTACGGATGGCATACTGGAGACAACTTGTTCAAGAGGCTATGGATGCAATTTGTCCATCTTGGAAATATATGCTCTTATCAACCTTTTCAGATGGTGCTTGGAATATTACAGGTTGAGTATATGAAATAGTAACTTGTGATTTTAATTGAATCAAGCAAAAAGATTGCAACAAAAGTAGATTATGGTATGATGCACACCAACTCAAATTTGTGGTTCAAGCCGTTATTTCCATATATCTCAATGAAAAAGTTTACTTGAAGTTAATCATCACTATTAGATAATTGCATTGACAATAAATCTTAAGCAGCAAAATGCAATCTAAATATTCAAAGGTCGCTGCAACTTGCTGGTTACTATTGGGAATAGTGTTGGCTTGACTTTTGACTCATTGGAGTCCTATTGTTTAGTACATGGAACAAAGAATCTTGATTTCAAACTGATGGGACATGTGATGAATTGAGTTATTTTCATTGATATCAAACGTTCTAGAGTTTGACATTGTGTTCAAAGCCTTACAGCATTCTACATTGCTAGTACCACAAGAAGAAATTTTGTTCTCTAGATTCATCAAATGTCTTCAAGATCTCACAGAAAAGCAATGTCCACTTTTTGAATTGCAAATTCAGGAAAAAGATCTAGTCATCTTCTTAGGTTCTTGGCAATCATGTAACATTTTTTTCATGATTTCCAAGAATGTAGTTGTAATTTTTGTTTGAGAATAAAGTTTGTTTATTGTGATGTCATTTGATAGCAGTGAGATAAATGTTATGATTTGTTTAGTTAGAAATTTAGTCATTAGTCTGGCAGTAGTTATATATAAGATCGAGCCAAAAAGAAATGGCAACAAAGCACCGGCAACATCTTTATTCCCATGTTTTTATCACAAATTTGCTACTATGTTTCCATCAAGCTTTCGTGGATCTCATCATTAGATTCCGATTTTGCTTTAAAAAGAAATTCAACAATGAGTAATTGATGCGTTGAAACAAGAACAGAAAGACATGCAAAAACCTTATCAATGAGACAATGGCTTCTGCAAAATAATGGATCAAATGCTCGAATCCTTCGGTTTGCATGAATCATGGAGTGCGGTTGACCCTCAATTTCCCAAATTGTGTACATTAGCTAGAGTCTTTGCTAATGTATATTTTTGTATAAGCGTGTGGAAAGTGATTTCTCCGTGGTTTGCTGGGAGAAAGATGAGTTACATATTGTCATTAATGGATCTTTCACTTGAGGTGATCATGGATTGTAAGCAATTCAAGTAAATTCAAGCAATTTAACATTGTGGTCATATTTGCGATACATAAAAATTGATTGAAGCCATAAGTCCGTTGATTATGACATATTTGACAATTGCCAAAATAAGAGAGGCTGCACATGAGGTGTCAAAGCAGATTCGTAATGAGATATTGTACATGGTTATTTGAAATGGGCGAGAAGCACACATATCTCATCTGTATGTAAGTATATATAGAGCAAGCCAGGTCGTATCCTACTGGTAAGAGAAAAAATAGATCACGGAGAACCCAAGTTTCTATATGCTAACAAGATTATGCTATCAAGTAAAGTTTCTATATGCTAACAAGATTATACTACAAGTAAATAGCTACAAGTAAACACTTGTATTTATTTGAAATAGAGATGCGCTTGTTGATTCAACTTTGGCTCTCTGAACAAATACAAAGCTAAGAACCAAAGCTGATCACAAGAAAAGGTCATCAAAGCCTAAGCTATGAAATAACTTGCGTCATTGGAATATCTAGAAGCTGAAGTCAGGTCAGATCTGTCTCGTTTTCACATACATCAAACGGGTCAAGAATGCAGTCCATCCCCGATCACTTGGATCGAGGGCGGTTAGGAATCTAAACTTTTCATTTTCTCTATTCGGGTCAAGAATGCAGTCCATCCCTGATCACTTGCATCGAGGGCTCTTAGGAATCTACACTTTTCATTTTCTCCATACGGCAACTTTCTGCTTTCTACTTTGTTCTTTAATGAGAGAAGTTTATCTGAAGCAGAGTGTCTGAACATCAATGTGTATAGTGACGTGCATCAACTTCTTATTATCGCTCCTATACAACACAAATCGGCAGATGTACTTTTCCGTATCGTATCTACTCCATTTCTTATGGAGAATCAACCTTTGCATGAAACATAGTCACTTTCAGATTTGTACAAAATCAAACTCGATCATGTTAATAATTTGGCAGTAGGCAGTGGACAGTTGCAAAGTACCGCAATGCATTGCCACCATGAACAGAATATCTAGAAAGTGTAGTGTACAATTTGGAAATGCTCAGCTTTGCATGAGGTTGCTTTTTCTTTCAACGACGTTACTTTTCCTTACATATAACTGCCTGTCCAGAACTAGAAACATACAAAAACTATTAGAACGTCAGTGCATAGTTATCAGGATGCAATTGAGGTCAACCAGTGGCAAGTTAATCAGCACTGACGGTGTCAGTCAAAATCCTATGTGTGTTTGGGATACAAGGCATTTAGCAGATCATCAAAAGTTTCAAGTAGTGCAGATCAGATGTAAAACAACGTCCAGGTTTCCTCAGGACTTGCATCATTCATTCCCAGTGGTCAACCAGTTCCGCTGAATGAGGACCACTTGACATCGCATAGCAGCCACCGCACCCGAGCGGTCCTCTTTGTTGACCCAAGGATGCAAGTATGACTTTTGTGCATGAACTCCAGTGCATGCGTACACAAGCAAGTTGACTTGTAGATTTCAAAGGCCTGAATATTATTCTATTGGACACGGATTCCTGTTTTTGCCCCTTCCGATGATCCGATATCTGAATTTCACTTTTCACAATGTTGCATCTCTCTCTTCATCGAAGAAGAACCCTCTTCACCTCTTGGAGCGCCGACTGCTTTCATGAGTTCGTAAGCATGCCTCTTGAAGAACACCATGAGATATGTGAGATACCTTACAACTCTTTTGAGCTCGACCCTCCGTCTTCGGCGGCCACTGGTTCGCTTCTCGTTTGGTACGCATGTACAGAGCATGAAGTGATGCCGATGCGGGTTATATCACAGGTCCGATCCACGCGTTTTTAGATACAGCAGAAGCCGCATCAGAGGATGAAGAGTCCGGACATTCCCCGCATGAATGTTTGCAATCGTGATCTTCCGGCAGAAGCTGTTGTACACAGAGTTAGATTTCAAGATGGTGCTCTTTCACCGGGAGGCAATGGAGCTCAATCCGAGAGTTGTAAAGGGAGGAAGCCAATGTGTCGAGTTCTAGCTCCTATCCGTCGGGTCAGACCAGATCATTACGAGCCGGAGCTCATATCGTTTGGTCTCTACGATAGGGAGTACAAGAAGAGTCAGCGGCCGGACCTAATGCAGTATCTGCAAAGCTACGTAAGTAAGGACGAACTGGCACCTGAGATTCGAGCTGAGCTGCTTGTGGAACTGGGTGCTGAAGTGCACCATCGATACCAGCAACAGCATCAGAAGGTTGTCGAACCAGTCAGCCCTGCTCCCAAGCAAATCAAACGCAAAAAGGCGAACAGAATGGACCAACAAAGAGAAGAAGTGGCAGAGAAGTTCATGGAGATCATGAAAGTTGACGAAGACCAAATGTGCGACGAAGTGCTTCCCAGTGCCGAGTTGGAGGACATTATCGGCTTGTACGATGATGGCTTTCTCATGAACCCCCAAAAAGCTAGGCGTCTGCTAATGTTAGATGCAGTTTTCTTGGTCAGTTTCATGCTTTACATGTACTGGGACTGCAACTCCACGCAGGATAAGTCTAAGAAGTCCGAGAAAGTTCGTGAAATCGAGCGTCTGTTTTCACATTTTAGCAGGTTTCACACACCGCTGAGAACGATTTTCGATCGACTAGGACTCCCTTGCAATGGCCATATGAAACGATCGGACCTGTGGCTACTGGAAAATCAGATTCCTCTCAGTCTGCTCAGAAATGTCTTGAAATTCGTTTTCAGTGCTCGTAAAGAAACAACGAGCTCGTCGCCTAACAACGAGGACGGCATAGATTCAACACCGCACGACATTGTGAATATCGACGAAACTAAAGCTGATACGGCATTGAAGCATCTTGTCAAAGTTGCTGTAGCCAACGTTTTACCCCAAGTCCCAGGAGACTGCTCGAACTCGAAAGAGATGTTACATCGGATGGACAAAGTCGATTTCAATGACTGTGAACATCTGCTAGAATGTCTATACAGGACGGTACGACCGGAAGTTGATGACAGCTGTAGCACTAGTCAGGTACGACCGGAAGTTGATGACAGCCGTAGCACTAGTCAGGTCACTGGTCTTCGTTCCTCTAAATCTCTTTCCGGGAGAATCGCGTCGCTGATCAAAGGCTCGACAGAAGAGAAAGCGCCTCTTTCTAAAGAAGATTTACAATCGATTCTTCCGCAGCACAGACCCAAGGTTCACCTGCCTCCAGTTTCAGACCTTCAGAAAGCAGGAATCAACGTAGTGGGAGACAAATCGCGCGGCTGTACACTGAAGTTTCAAGAGGCTAGTAGACTTACTCAAAAGGCAACTCTTTCGCTTCCACAGCTACACATCGACGACAGCACCGAGAGGATCCTGCGAAATTTGGTAGCGTTTGAGTCCACTATGAGCTCGGGTATCACTCGTGATCAGCATGTTCTCATGAGCTACCTGCAATGCATGAATGACTTGGTGAACACGGAGGAGGATGTCCGGCTTCTGATGATGGGGAACGACCCCGTCATCCGACTGAGCTTTCTTGGGGAGAACAAGGATGTCGCCGTCATGTTCAACAATCTGATTCAGCATTGCTACTTCGAACACACGCGCCAGTCGACCGACCTCCGCAAGCAGGTGAATGATTGCTACAAGAAAAAGTTTCGGCATCTGTACACAGAGTTCGTGGATAAACATTGTAGCAGGCCATGGATCGTGATGTCGCTGTTTGCAGCGACGCTGCTCCTCTTCATGACAGCTCTTCAAACCATCTACTCTCTATTGGGCTAGATTTCTACAAAATAACTACACCTCCACAATGTAGATAGCTTCGCCATGCCGTATGCCTGCTGCAGCGATCAAAAGCAAGAATCAACATTGCAACAAGCTGCAGCAGCTGAAGTCTGGATACATTAAGAAGATACTTACTGCCTTTTTCTTGGGCATCCTGCCATCTGGGGAGGCTCCATGCTGAAACTCTCCTGTCTGAACTCGAAAGTTGTCTACTTTCTTTAAGTTGTGTGTCTGATAAGGTGGATCGGGAGAGCTTCATACCCTACACCCTATTTTTACGAACGGTTGAGAGCACGATATGAGTTCCCAAAATGTAGGTCACTGCAATAGCTGTTCTGTCCAGCTTACGTTCCTTACGTGTCATCAATAAAACCGTAGGCATGCAGACAAGTATGGCTATGAATTAAGCTAACCATCACATCACATTGTCCAATCTGCCGTCTCTAATCTATTCTACGCACGATGTTACCTTGATCGGCGCCTTGGTATCTTATGCTTGAGTCATATTATCACGCTTTGCTGAGATTGCAACTTCACATCTACAGATTTTGCAATTTCAGCCTACTGATTGAAACAGAGAGGAGCAAGCACTGTGTGGTTGGATCTCACTATGTTTCATCAACGGCTGCAGTGAAATGGAACATACTTTCGGTAGAATATCGGAATTAGCTTGATATCTCACCGGGCCACAGAGGCAGGAGCTTAAAACAGAGAACGAAATACCAACAAGCGATTAAACATTCGAACGACGAATAAGATCCGGCTAAAAGTAATTGCTTAAAAGAGGAACGAACACAATTACCTAGCCAACAAAAATACAGGTAGTTTTAATAACATCTGTAACAGACCAAGAGATGAAATCAGTATATTTCTGTTTTACTCGACCCAGTATTTAGTCTTCGACGACTTCTGGCCAAGCTTTTCGTAGATTTAAAAAAAAAAACCAAAAGATAAATTAGAGAATCCTCGTCTGCTATTCTTTCCTCTGCTCAGCTGGACAAACACGTTCTAAGTATGGCGCTCCACTTAGCTCTGTTGCTCGCTGTGTCGCACAGTCCCCTGGTTTAGAAGAAAATCAAGTACAAGTTGTGAAGGAACCTGGTTACTCTTGAACTCGATAGCGTTCAGATGGGTCGATATAAGCAACGTTCGTTCTCAGATCTAGTCTACTACCAGAGCTTGATTAGTTATGTGGACCATCTGAAATTTCGACTCTCTTATATTTGCAAAGAGTGTTACCTTTGGCTGCTCTTTCACGAGAGAATATAGAGCCAATGCTGTAAAGAGTAGCCTGAACATTCCAAAACACCTCACGTTCTCAAGCACTACTCTCACCGATGGAAACGATTTCAGTTTCGGCAGAAGGCGAGGGTCCTCGAACATGCTCCAAATTCGGAGACACGAGAGATCTCTACCAGATTTTCAGTATATGATTTTTAGAGTCCTTGCAGGTCGCTGGTCACTCATTGCTCAGAGGTGGGGTCCCACCTCTACATGGTCGTTTGTCTCATCACTCTCAGGGTCTCGTACAACCCGCAGATTTTAGAGCATCCTTAAAGGCTGGAGCATTGTTTTCTTCCATTTCCTGCAATGGCCCGCGTGGATTCGATGGATTCCCGGGTTGACCTCTCTGCAGTGTGAACACGGTAAAAAAATTAATAACCATCACGGAAGAAGGAATGTAACCTCTTATCCAAGAAGAACTTTCCGACAAACATTTACTGTTGAAATTCTCGTTGCGAATGTTTATGTATCTAACATATACGTAAGATCTTCCGTCCCACGTCGACGGTCTTGGTCAACATGTTCCAGTTCCCATCGTCAGAGGACCACAGGAAGTGTCTAAACCAAGCAACTCAGCAGCTGGAAGCAAATGCCATTACTTTTCTCGAGACTTCAAACAACACAATGAGAGACTGAATTCGTTCTGGAGTCGTACTTAATTTGGAGCAGACTGGATGGCATTTCTTTCTGATCTTCAGCTGATTCTGTTGAAGAGTAGTCTTCCTCTCGTACACTGAACTCACTATGAGAAGTGGAGAACCGGCACCGTGGGTGTTGTCGATTTCTGATGAGATGAAAAAGCTGTCCGATGACAAAAGGCGATCGGTGATCATGATCAGAGAAGTGACGGGAAGACTCGCATCTTTCACAAGGTGGGTGTTGCTTCCAGTGTTCACCAGATCTTTGCTGACTTCTGGCTACTTCAGAATCAAATTCCTCCTCAACTCGTTGAAGAGTTATTGAACAAAGTATGGGGTGCTCTATCGCCAGATGCTCAATCGAAGTGACTGTCGACAAGGCCCTCCTTCCGTTTGCAGATGCTGATACTGGCCGGTCAGATGTGGAAGCCATTCGCAGAGTCCCAGTTATCAGATCCTTAAAGTTTCAGGAAAGCGCCTCTTCAGATTCTCTTACTTCCGCAAAGCAGAATACGCTTAAGCTGTAAGTCAGACGAATTCGCTTCCTGGAACGCTGACCAATTCTTGGGTCCAAAAAATAACTAGGAAATTTTTCTCGTTCCGAAAGGGGAAATGGAGCTAACAAAACAATAACCTGTTCTAGTGTGGTAAGTATTATTTGAACCATGCCTGGTTTGTATGGTTCAACCTCTGTTTCGACAGGTTACTAGGCTTCGTTCGCGACGCTACTGCCGCTATGTCGCACTTTTATGCCTCGAACTCCCAAGTTCCACACCATCTTAGTCTGTTGCCAGTAGCTCCTGACAAACGTGCCCTTGTTATTCTCGAGAAGAATAACAAGTTTTCACATTTATAGCGATGTCATCGAGTAGTGCCTGTTTTTGCAGCTGAAATTCTACGTTCTATGTTGTCCTATGTACACCATTCTTGTCCGATACTTCAGGCTTCACGCATAACACGGAGAATCAATATGCTTCGGGAGATGATGATAGTGTTATCTTGCAACTCAACCTGCAAAATCTAAGAAGTTGTTAGAACTCCCCAGGAGTTGCACATTCCTCTGAGCACATGACGTATAGAAACCGGGTTAACGAAACAATGGCTGCGAGAACAGCACGGCACAACGACCACCTCACTGCTGAGCTAAGAGAAAGCAATACATATGTAAGTCTTTCACAAGATTGCAGTTTATAGAAACCGACCACTACGGCTCACCCTTGGAAGCAAGGGTGCCCGAAGGTCCGACCTAGGGCTGCTATTACCGGGGAGAAAACTAGTCAGCAACTCACGCCAGTTCCTATGGCTTGCAGTAGGCCATTGCACCCTTCTCATTTGCACAATACTCCTGTTTCCGACTAAATTGTAGAGCCGGATCAAGAAAAGAATCAAAACCGCGAGACAAAGGCACGTTCCTACTGCACATGAAATCAGAGTAGAAGTCTGCATATGCAGGACAGGAGGTAGAGTAGCAAATCCTGCAGCTCCAAATGCGCCCAGCACGAAGACAATTGCGAATGTGAGTAAGACCGATGTCATGATGACCGATCTTCTCAGGGCTATGACTTGCTTGCGGACAAATGCGTGAGAGCTGGGCAGGAGAGCTCCGGCTCCCCCGAGTGCACAAGCGACGGCAAAGAAAAACGACATGCTGTTGCAGATCCAGAAAACCTCGAACACTTGAGGATTCGTGCCTGTCACTTTGTTGAAGCTCTTATGGCTCAAGATCGACCGAGCTGTGGGAAGTAGCCGATTCTCTTCGTAGTCTTCTAAGGGAGGATCCAGCCAGCCGGGAAATGTCACACTGGCGATAATACCAGCCCCGACGAGAATGGCATTCGTGGCATCCACATACATCTGCCGATCCATGTACAGTTGTTGGACGTACTCTCTGACAACCGGCTTTTCCAGCAGCATTTGCTGAATGTCTGTGTGTCTTGTTTTCACAGCTAATTCTATAGGGGATCGTCCTTCTTTATCTGCCTTGTTCAACCTCAGCTTCGGCATATCAATCAGCAACTGAACGCTGGAACTCTGCCCGGCCAGTATAGCATAATGCAGGGGCGTTCGGCCATCATTGTCATCCGCATTAATGAGTTCTTCCATTTGAGGAAAAGCAAGCACACATTTCAACAACGAAGTCTGATCGTACCCTGTGTAAGTGATCATGTGCATCAAAGTAACTCCTCCGGAAGGAGCTCGAAGACTTCTGGTTGACGCTTTGAACGTGGTTACAAGCGTACTTCTCAGATCCTCATCCAGCAGCAGATCCAGAACGTACATTTCCGGTAGTTCGGCTATATTGGATGAACCGACTAAGTCTTGACAAATTTTCAGGTTGGGTACTTTGTAGTTCGTATCCTTGTGCTCATGGAGTTTGCCAAAGAGCCCCCTAAGAATGCGCTGATGCGTGCTGACAACTAGAGCATCCAGAGTGGCATCTCGATCCGCTGCTGATCTTTCCTGGCTGTACTGAATGATCACCGCAATCGAAATATTAAAAGCAGCATCCCCACAAATCAGTTTCAGTTTCTTACTGGACAGTAGTTTGGTAACAACTTCGTCGTGGCTCTGCTCCACAGCGCAATGCAAAGACATCATTTTGCCAGCTTCGTCCCTAAAAACAGAGTCCCCCAGTTTTGGCAGCCCAAGTTCTGGGAGTGCTGCTTCGATCTCAGCAGCAAAATGTGAATCCTTCGATCTCAGCGCCGATCGCATAATATCCTCTTTCTGCTCAACCAGCTTCATCCTTTCGTGTACAATCTGCGAAGAGTTAGTGACGACATCGAGATCCAATCCTCGGTGGTCAAGCATCATCTGGACTATGGAGACGTAGCCACGCTTGGCAGCCAGATGGAGTGCCGTGTATCCATCTACATCTACAGCATTCACGTCCACTGACTTCCAGTTCTCGAGCATCTCCTTCACCACTTTCACCTGATTCTCCCACGCGGCGTAATGCAACGGCCTTCGCCATAGACGGTCTTTCTGCGCATGGATCATTTCTACTTGTTTCTTCTTCTTCTTCTTCTTCAATTCTGCTTTCTCAGAATTCAAAACGAGTCGCACAATCTTCTCGAACCCTTTGCTGGCAGCAATGTGCAGGGCGGTGAATTTCTCCAAGTTCGTTCTGGCCTCGACGAAACTTGGCATCCAGCGAGGATGGCCCAGGAGTAGCTCCACAGCCTCATCGTTCCCGGCGTAGGCAGCCACATGGAGAGGAGTAGCAGCATTGTAGGCCCGACAAGCGAGATCGACTTCGTCGCAAAGGAGCAGACTTTTCAAGACTTGGATCCGTGGATAAGGTGCAAGACTACATGCACAGTGGCTCCGTGGAGGAGGTGAAAGACTACATGCATAGTGCAAAGGTCGGAGACTGAAGTCATCCCCGAGGTTGATCAGCTTCAGACCTGAAGGATCATCGAGTAAGCATTCCAGGATCTCCACCCGGTTCTCGATGACAGCTATGTGCAGCGCCGTCCCGCCATTGTACAGCTCGACCCTCTCACTCAAATCAAACGCATGTTGAAATAACACCGATCTCACTTCATTCGCATCTCCTGAAAGCACTGCCCTGCACAGACTCATCTTCGTCTTCTATTCTGGATGGTTAGATCAATCTGCAGATACCATTCATGGTCGTGGCCATGGCTGGGCAATACCGGTGCATGAATCTGACTATGGGCCTCACTTTGAAAAGCATTGTTCTGATCGGTGGCACCCAACCTGAAAACGTATCACATATATATCCTTCACTCAGTCCATGAGATCACTCAAATCGAAGCACCATACTTCAGACAGCTCAGGGTGGACAAAACCCTCACGAACTGAACGAGTGTCATTGATAGCCGCAATACTTTGACATAAGCTCTGTGAGTTAGCTTGGCCTGCCATGGCTACAGACTGGATTACCAACGCCGTATCAGGACAATGTAGTACAAGGAATGACAACATTGCCATGTTACATGCAGGCAAGAGACTCGACTTCGATATGTGGACATTGTGGACGAGAGGTCACTGACTAGTGTCATTTGAAGAAATTGGCAGCAGGACAGACTGAACTGGCCAAGTTATGCATATCGGCATACCACGGTGAACATGGAATTTTGCAGCGATAAATTCTGAAATGAAGCTCTGAACGACAAATAAGAACTCAGATATCGTGAATATGATCAGGAGAATGGTTTGATTTCATCCCAACCTGGGAAGAAAAACCGTAGACAGCACAAGGAGGCCTGTAGTGTGTCCAAGCTTCACTCGTGCATAGTGTCACGTGCATCCGTCTTGGGTCTTCTTCGCAGTTATTGCCAGGCTCGGAGAGCTCTCCGTGCTGTACAGTAGACTAGTTATGTACTGAAGACCTACACCGCCCAGATGCAGTAACCTCGAGGCCTATATGACACACTCTGATGACTTTATCTACGTCACTCCGAGTTATTGACTCTGCTCACCTGGCCCACACTGTTTTATTGGGAGCAGTTTCAATACAATTATTTCTCGATCCATGTTTACGAGAAGGCTCGAAACATATTTTCTGTTCCAAAGCTCTGTGAAATGGGCCCGACTCTCTGTCTGCCCAGTGCATGTCTCATAGTACAGCACTTTGATTCTGAAACGTAGAGCTGTATCTCGTCTTTCTACGATCATTAGGGTGGGAGGTAATTCTGTGTATTTTCCAAAACATTCTCGTTCCATTTTGTATTTGTCTAACTCTGTGATGTTTTGAGATACTGCACTGCACGCTATATTCGAGATTAGGCCCGGATTTGAGTGATGACTGAAGCTAGTGACACAGCAGCAACCCCTTCTTCAAGACATTTCTGAATCCTGAGTCCTCATCAGACTCACAAAAATCTGAAAGCTTGGTGAGACCACATCACACGTACAGTCTTCCTCAGCCTATTCTCTAATCGAGTTCACTCTCATTCCTATATTAAATAGGAATGCGTCGTCTCGACTGACTGCGAATGGTCCTGTCAGGGTCTGTGCCAAATCAGCAACAGAACCGTCAGATGATTACTGGCCATACAAGGTCCAGCAAATAAACTTCACATTCGCGACGACTGGTGTGTAGATAAATCTGGTGACAAAACTCAAGAGAGAGACATTGACTTTGATTCCTGCGAATATATTGAGACCATGAGTTCAATTCATATTTACCTTAGAACGACGAGCCTAAATAGACGAAAAATAGCACATTCTAATCTTTAAGTCCAAACATTTCAATTCATGCATCCCTCGAGTTTCATTTTACCATTTCAACCCGAGACAAGAAGTTTGCAATCTATAACGGTAGTCCAGTAACACAGATGAACACTATCTGTTTGTGTAGATAGGAAAGTTATCATGTTCCATGGCTTTTTGATTTTTTTTGTTTGTAGGCAGTATATGTAAATCATTGGAATGCGATCCGGTATGAGGCCATGATAAATCATGGGTTCTTATTTGAATGGTTTACAATACTTTTTGCTATTCACTTGCTCCTTTTTTGTTCCGGAGATATGCCATTACAATAGTTTATGTTAGTTAAATTTTGGACATGGGGTAAGAGTAACTATTGACATTGCAAAGGATGGTCTGGATTTCGCTCTTGTTATGTTTTGTTGTAAGTAGGGCTTTACGGCATGAGTAGGTTTATTTCTTTGGTGAAAAAAATAATGCAATGGATGAAAAGCACGCACTGTTATGATGATTACTCTATACACATGTGCTCAGTCTCCTGGGGCAGTGGTATTATATGGTATGATTGTATATTAAAGAAGTCAATATACAATCTTACCATAATATTATTTATGGATACATTGCAACTTGTGCAGTTTTAATATTTTGTATTATTTATTAATTTTTTACCGAAACCTTATTCTATTTGATGAGAATTGTTTCCATCTTGAGAATGTGCTTCTCCATCTATCGTTGGATAATAATTTTATCAATGAAAGGTTACAAATTTTGTTGAAGAAATGTGAGCCGAAACTCCCCACCCTTGAGCGTTTGTAATCCAGGTGGGGGTTCGAGCTCCCATAATCTAACTTCTATGATTTCAAGCCATGTGCTCTAAGTGTATTCGAGACAACAAGATCATAAACACTTGCTCTTCCACGGACAAATTGTCCAGAACTGAAATTAACAACTTGCTTTCTGTTATTTTCACAAGAGCAGCAGACAAGCTCTTTGTAACATAAAGATCTAACCCAACTCTGGGTGACTTTCTCAATACTACAGCAGTTATGGGCTTATCCTAGAATGAGTGTCACATCTCGGACACACTGCCTCGGACAAGTCAGGTGACACATCGGCAGTACAAGGTGACACCCTTCCTAAGAGCAATCTTCACAGCCAGGGAACACAATTCTATTCTCAACGCTTCACTCGATTCTTCCTCTTAGTGATCAACTCACTCTCAGCCCGGCGATCCCCTCGGCCCTCTCCCACACCCTCACGGCAGGTACACCCACTGCCACCTTCCCTCGACAACCTCCGACCCCACCAGATTTCTCTCTCAGATTTAACTCTCAGATTTCAGTTTCAAATTCAGATCCCAACTGTTAGATTTCAGTCTTAGATTTCACTTCAATTTCAGCTCCCACTCTCAGATCTTTCACTTCGATTTCAGCTCCCACTCGCAGATTCTACACTTGATTTAAGACACCGATGAACTTTCACTCTAAGATTCGACTCTCCACCCTCGAGAATTCGCTATCTCCTCCTTCGAATTCTTAACACTCCCCTCATAATTCTCACCACTTCCTTGCGAAAATCACTCACATCCGCACTCTATTCCTACGACTGATCCCACCTTCAACCACACACTAGTGTACCTCCAAGATCTCTCTCCGAAGGCCAAATTTCCTCTCCAAAAGTCCGAGGGCCGAGGCGCCCACATGCCATTTTAATTGCCGTTCCCGCAATGATGGTTGAAGGCATGCTTCCCACGCTTGACTTCACGCCGCCGCTGCTGCCACACTTGTACATTCCACATTCATGATCACGCCAACTTCCGCCGTCGGAAATCTTCTTCCGTGCACCGCCGAAGGCATCCTACTGCCGAAGGCCCTTGCACCGAAGGCACCCTACCGCCGAAGACACTCTTCCGTACCTTTGCCTATCTATAACAGTCACTTCCGACACTTATAACTCACTGATCTCTGATCTGTTTCAAGAGTTCTTGGGCTTGTTGGAACGAGCAACACGAGCTCTTTCCAACAAGACCCTAACTAAGTCAAACGTCAAGAATTGAAAAAGTTATCACGGTTTTACCCTTCCGCCAAAGGCCTTGCCCCGAAGGCCCGCTACCGCCGAAGGCCTTTCACCTAATCATATCAGCCGAAAGCCTGTTAACGCCGAGGGCGTATTGCCGAAGGCGTCTATCGCCGAAGCCCCCATATCAGTAACTTCCGACACTCTTAACTCAGTGATGTCTTATCCGTTTCAAGAGTTCTTGGTCTCGTTGAAACGAGCGTCGCGAGCTCTTTCCATCAAGACAGTAACTGAGTCAGGGCATCACAAATTGAAAACTTTATGAAGGTTTCACTGTTTCGCCGAAGGCCTTTCCCCGAAGGGACTTCACCGAAGGCACTTCGCCGAAGACCTTGCCCCGAAGGTCCCCTTCCGGACCTTTGCCTACTAGCCATTACACCAACTCTTGCAGCCGCACTGAACAACATACATCACTTCTCGGCAAGTGTCTTTCGTGGAGCTCACATTGGCCGGAGCTCCGGTTCACTGGTCGCGTATCTTACATAAGATAACGCGGCAGCATGCATTTGAGGAGAGGGGGGATCGATCAATCATCTCGCCCCCTTCTTGATAAACTTTTATCGGTCGATGGGTTGCTTAACAGCGACTGAGCGTATTCAGTATCCGTTGCTATCACTCAGCAATCCCGGGAGGTATGTGCGGGATAACGAGGTCGACTCCGACGCGGAGTACACTCCGACCTCCACGCCACCAGCCCAACAGGATGCGGGGAGAGACACATCCGCAGCACGAGTGTTGCGCAAGCGGAGATGGAGGGGGGAACCAGAGAAAGAGCCACATCGAGACTCAAGAGCTCTCAAACGGAAGCGGCCACTGGAAGAAATTTGCAGTCGGCCAAAGCAGAAATCGCGCCGGCTTGTATTGCCTGCAAGTAGCGTGGAGACAGCGCGGGCCGCCGGAGAGAAGGAGACCCCATCCTCGAAGGAGGATGGGAATGCGCGGACGGTAGAAGGGTCAGCGGAACTCCCTACGCCGAAGGCACGGACGCCTTTGGCGCAAGCAAGACGACCTTCGGGTCAAGAGGGACAACACGCGGCGCGGATGAGTGTGCCGCCTACGAATAGGAGAACTCCTGCGGATAGGAGAGCGCCTACGGATAGGCGAGACTCGCCTTCGGGGCTGGAGCCTTTGGCACGTGCGCCTTCGGCGCAGTCGCCTCCGGTGCAGCAACGGAAGGGAAAGGAGCCGGCGGAAGATCCGTCTTCGACTCAAGGGCCTTCGGGGGAAGGTACTTCGGTGGTGAGAGCGCCGGAAAATGCGCCTTCGGTGCAAGGGCCTTCGGGCCACCGAGTTGCAAGTAGTGGGCCGGCGGGGAACGCGCCCTCGGCGGGAAGTCCGCCGGAAGGTGCGCCTTCGGGCCAAGGAACATCAGGCGAGCTGCCTTCGGCGGAAGCGCCGCCGACAATTGTGCCTTCGGCGGAGGCACCTCCAGCGCAGGACCTATCGAAGGAGCAGGACCTATAGAAGGAGCGGGACCTAACGGAGGAGCGGATTGATAGTCGGAAGGAGGAAACACGTGTGCGCGATGCACAATTGCAATCCGCCCAGACACCTTCCGCACGAACGCCTTCGGCGGTGGACGCCTTCGGCAATGCGGAGTTAGCAGAAGCCGGACGGGCGGGCGATGCGGATTTGGCACAACCCCACTCTCCCACCGCCTTGGACATTCTGGCAGGGAGCAGCGAGGTTGCAGCGGCGACAGTGGTGGCAGACGACGCAGACATTTCGAAGCCACACTCACGACAATCGCCGGAGACTTCAGTGGCGACCGAAATCCTCAATTCGGAGGATGACGAAGAAGGAGGATCGATGGAATCAGCGTCAGGGTTGGAATCAAGTGAGGAGGAGAGACAATCAGTGGCAAACAATCAGTGGCAGAGCAGGTGGTACCTCTGTTGAGATACCTTGATCGCAAAGTGGAGAAGTACGCAGACCCCCGCCAGCCTAGATCCTACGTCAAATTAGTGCGTAGGCGAACTTGCACTAAAGTCCACACCAGCAAGTTGTTGGCCCGTGTGGATCGGGAACTCAAGGATGTGCGGGAGAAGTATGAGTGCTTGTGGGGCCACCTTAATCTCACTAAGAAGATGTACAAGGTCTTCGACAAGTCGAA